GTTTACTTGCTTCATTTACTTTATTGCATCTAACATATATTGTTGCAGATTTTGTTGTGAAAACTAACCTGCTCAGAAACTAGTTTCATAAAATAACTTTAAGTTTGAACACTCAAAAGGTTACCTTCTAAAGGATAGATTTTCATAAATAATTGATTTTTAAAAAACATAACAATTTAATCCTCCCTTCTTGTTGCCTAACATTCACTTCACTTAACTCCACAACATTGTGAAAATGATAGGGTTTTTCAAGCTCATATCCCTATTGATTGATGAGCTCCCTGATGCATGCATATGGCGCTGACTATATAGATCAAGGGTCAAATTTCAGTCACTTTAGTAGTGCGAAATTAATGGTAATGGGTTACTCATAATAGTAGCACATCTGTAGGAACTCCTTCATATTATAGTAGGACGAACTCCTTGTGAAATCATAGACAAGAATGTTTATATCCTCTTTGTCGATGGATTGCTTATCCATCATTTGCTCCATATCTAAATCCTCCTTAGAGACAATGCTTGATGTCTTTACATTCTCACTTGGTTGCATGATAAAGGCAAATTCCTTTGGTCGTCTTGTGTTTAGTACCACTAAGGAGGTGTCTATACTTAATGGTATGGCCTCGATTGCAATACTATGCATTTCCTATAGCCTTAGCCACTACCTCGCACTCTTTGTAGACTTCTCCTAGGTTTTTCTCTAAAAGTGCTTGATAAGTGTCTAACTAGTCTGATGAAATCTGAATTTGAGACACTTATCTAGCACAATTTTTGTATATATTGATATAATTTTGGTCAATATATACTTAGAATCAAAGAGGGACTCTTAATTTACATTATTACAGGGAGTGATGAGTCTTTTGATCAAATTTTGTGTTTATTTTGTAGGATTTGAAGTCTGGAGGAAAAAGGCTCAGCCCTTCAAAATGGCTGAGCGCTTTCAAGCCAGAGAGCTCAACAAATGCAGCAAAGGAGAGGCACTCAGCCACTCTAAGGCGCTGAGCAGTTTTGGCCCTGGAAGAAGGAGTGCTCTCTACCTCCTAGACGCTCAACGAATATGAAGCGCCTAGCCCCTTTTGCTTGCTTAACAGTGAAGAATCTCTCAGGCGCTCAGCGGATTTGAACGGCTCAGCCTTTCAAATTACTTCATGATGAAGAATTCTTCAAACCGCTCAGCCGTTTCAAGGTACTGAGTGGATTCTTCTCTTTCCTACCTACTCTATTTTAATTCCAGCACTTATAAAAGGGCAGAAGAGAGAGAAAAAGGGGCATCACTAGCTGTACGAAGAGAAGAACAAAGAGGAATCAGGAAACAGAGCACTTTGGAGCTCGTGGGGACGCGATTCTTTAGAGGATCTCTTTCTTCTACCTTTCTCCTTGTTGTTTAGTGATTCCTTGTACCATGGAGAGCTAAAGCTCTAGGGTTGGGATTGATGTAATCGTCGAACTCCTTTGTATTCCTCTTTGATTCATATATATATCTCATCTATTACTAAATGTCAGTGATTTATTTATGTTCTTAATGCTTTGATGAACTGATCATTTATCTTTGATTTTGGATTTAGAATTTGGTTGGAAAACATTTTCTGAATCTAGACTTGGAACGAATCACCTATTAGTTTCAAAAGTCAGGAATGATTTTGGAATTAATAGTTGTAATAAGTTTTGACTCTTAATGCAGGATATTTAACTGAATGAAGTGAGGAATCATTCATTGAGTTAAATATCTTAGAATTTCTTATGCCAAGGAATTGGGTCTGAATGAATATAGAGAACTCAATGACCACGAGTAATGGAATCATTTGAAAGAATCAATAGGAATGCATTGGAAGGAGATTGATGAAATCTAATCCCAACTGTTTCTCATATCTGTTTTCTTTAAATCTAATCTGACTTTTGGTTACTTAAGTTTGATCTATCATTTACATCAAATTTTGAACATGTGTAATTACTCAAGTTTTAAATTCACAAGTACCAATTAGTATAATAGAAATCAAAGCTTACTTCACAAGTTCCTGAGGATCGACAACCTTTTAACTATACTACAGAGACTTGGGTGCACTTGCTCAGAAAACCAACAAGTTTCTTGCTCCTAGGGTTTTAGAAGTGCACAATGAAAACTTAAGCCATTGATATTCTTTTAATATCTTATAGGTTGGGCCTAGAGTCCAACCCAAATCTCCTTCCTCTACAACCCCTTGTTATTTTATTTAATTAATAGAAAAACATTATTTATATTGTAACTTAATTAATTAATCAAGTCCATAATTATTTATTTATTTTATTTCAAAAATACAAGATGTTACATGTTAAAAGATATTTATGTTTTTAGTTGCATTGTAATAATGGCCCGATTGTTTATTACACTTTTATGGTATCACAGTCGGTTAAGTCTTTTGGGCGATCTTATTATGTTTCTGTTGTGCAGTTAATATATGTTATTGTTGTGCTATGTTAGTTGTTGTACAATGCTATCTTATGGTCTTATTAATCTCATATAGGATGGCAGGTAAACCTACTAATATTCTCCATCGCCACCTTCTGATGAAAATCAGATAGTTAGGACCACGAAGATGATGGCTACACCTATGCACCAATAAAATGTTGCTTTGGCTCAAATAGAAGCCAAAATGGTTGCAATTGAGGCAATTAGACTAGTAATTCCTCAAGAGTATAAAGGATTAGTTGTGTTTAGGAAATGCAATCCTCCTCAATTTAAGGGTGATTTTGATCTAAAGGTAGTTGATTATGGCTCAATGAGATGGAGAAGATCTACAAAGTGATGGAGTGTCCCGAGGAAAAAAAAGTTGACCTATGCAATGTATATGTTGATGGGTGAAGTTAAGTAATGGTGGAGAGACACATAACAAATGATAAAGGCTAGGGGTGTAGTTGTCAACTAGGAAGGCTTCAAGAGGTTGTCCCTTGAGAAGTACTTTCCAAACATTGCAACATTCGCAAAATAAGCTAAGTTCCTAAGATTATATCAAGGGAACATGACGATCCAAGATTATGTTATGAAGTTCAAGCATTTGACCCAATTCCATTCCTACGCTACCTTTGGAGCTTAGAGGTGTGGAAAGTTTAGTGAAATTTGAGATACGAGTTAAAAAAGATGGTGGTTCCTATGGTCATTACTGAGTTCCCTACCTTGATGGAGAAGACATAAACAGTAGAGAGGTTGAAAAGTGGTAACTAGGTGGTGAAGACATGTGAAAGGCCAATTAGGTCTGAGAAAGATGGTCAAATTTGATTTGTCTAATGATTTATATTTTTTTCATGCAGAACTTGTGCTAGAGATGAGACAAATGATTCATAATTTTATTGAAAATTCTTAAAAAGATTAGTGTTTGACTCTGACCTTGTATGACATTATATCTTATTCTAATATAAATTTTTTGTAAAAAAAATACACATAAGATACGACCCAATACAAGACAGAGCTAATCATCAATCTTTTTGAGGATTTCTAGTAGAATTATGGATTACTTACTCGATTCTCAATGCAAGTTTACATGGAAGAATGTAAATTACAAGGGAAATTGAATTTGATCCCAAGTCTAAACTAATATGAGTGAGGATACTTAACTAATCATGTTACCCTTATAAGGAAAAATATAATATATAATTACAATAATAAATTTAAAAAATAAAGAAATTATGGAAACTTAAACTTTATTTATTTTATACAATAAAAATTCACAATTCACTTCATAATTGCATGAGACATGAATTAAAATTAATTGAATGGTATACTTTATTTTTAAAGGACAATGCAATGGAAAAAGATTAATCGAGTGCGAAATATAAGTTTTATATATCTTTTGGTTCTAAATAAAAAAAAAATCATAGTTATTTATATTTATATGTGTTTGAGTTTTATGGAAGAAAAATGTGATTAAGAGGGAAAAACTTCACTAAAGGTGGCTAAACATTTGATATGTTCTTTAACAAATATTAGTCATCAACAAAGTTAATAAATGCTTTATTCTAATTACATAATTATAAAAAGGATATAAATGAATATTAATTAGCTCTATTTCTATTTATATGACTCAACTTAGAACAATTGTTTATTCTTTTATATAAGACTCAATTCATATTATCTTATATATTAATTATTTTTAGACTAAAATATCCCTAAATAATAGGGGTGGGTAGATGAACTTGGGTCCGTGGGTTAGTTCGTAAGTCCCCAGACTTCGTAGATAACAAATCCATTTTTTTTCATAGATACGTATAATTATGTTTAATTTTTAAGTCTAGTCCGTGAAGTTTGTAAACTTGACAAACTTAATTTGCTAATTCGTAGACTAGTCTACAAACTTAACTAATTAGTTTTTCACATATTAAGACTTACATATTTGGTTGTGTATTTAAAATTTTAATTTATGACATTAATACTATGTTTAATTGATATGTATTTACCATTTTGATTATTTTTTAGACATTTTTAGTCTTAACACTTTAATATTTAGTATTTAAGACCATTACAAATGTTGATAAATTTTAGTGTGATAGATTTTAATTTAAAAATAAAAGAATTATTTTACACCAAAAAATAAAATGCTCTTTTTCTTCTAATTTATGTATTTTTATTTTAAAAATATATTTTTTAAATAATCAAATTTTATATATAAGAACATTTATGTTGTTATATATAGTAAGTAGTAACTATATATAATAACTACATATTACTTATCACTATATTTAAAGCTGAAAGGATATTTTTGGGTTGCATATTTTTATTTTATTTTTATAAAAAGCAAAGAAAGATATTATAATTATGAGAAAGAGAAAGTTAGATAAATTAAATTCTGCTCTAAAGCTCTCTCTCTACACCCTAGCGACCAATTCCTAACAGTTAACAGCACCAAAAGTTCTAGAGCATTCCAATGTACGACAAGAGCAACGAGAGTCCACAGAATCGAACGGCCTAGATGAAACAGAACCTTCAAGACCAAATCCTCTGGTAATAATAAAAACCTAATCCCTCTCTCTTTCTCTCTTTCATTCTCACTCTCACTCTCTCAAGCCGCTCACGTTATCCACACCTCAACCCTCCTTAAACCCTAACCATGGCTTCCACCTTCTCTCCCACCTCCTCCGTCGCCGCCCTCAAGCTCTCCTCCTCCTCCGCCATCTCCTCCTTTCCCCTCTCCTCCCGCCGCCGCACCAACGCCGTAGTCATTTCCCGCCGCAGCCGCAGCCGCAGCGCCCGCGTCTCCGCTATGGCCAAGGAGCTCCACTTTAACAAGGACGGCACCGCCATCAAGAAACTCCAGGTATTTATATAAATATATATATATACACACACACACGCTTGCACTCTGATTAGTATCGACGAAACGCGCGTTTTCAGGTTCCGCCGATTGTGACGTTTTGTTTTCGTGTTATTGCGTTTCGCAGAGCGGTGTGAACAAGCTCGCGGATCTGGTTGGCGTCACGCTTGGTCCCAAGGGAAGGAATGTCGTCCTCGAGAGCAAGTACGGCTCGCCCAAAATCGTTAACGACGGTGTCACTGTCGCCAAGGAGGTGCGTTTGATGAATTTCGTTACGTTTTATTGGTCATTTCCATTTTCGTGTATGTATGCGTGTTTGGAGTGTTTGAATTTGTTTAGGTGGTTAGTGTTTTATCTGAATTTCGTTTTCTGTTGGTGAATTTGGTTTTGGAAGGTTGAGTTGGAGGATCCGGTTGAGAACATTGGCGCCAAGTTGGTGAGACAGGCGGCGGCCAAGACTAACGACTTGGCAGGTGATGGAACCACGACCTCGGTTGTTCTAGCGCAGGGACTTATTGCGGAAGGTGTTAAGGTGGGTTTGTTGTTGTTTCATTGGAAATGTGGAATGGCTGAATGAGTAGTAACTGCTTGAGTGCTTGGTTTGGTTTTGGTTATTTTCGCACAATTAGGCTTCATTTTGCTTTGGTTTTTGCAGGTTGTTGCGGCTGGAGCTAACCCAGTGCTCATCACCCGTGGCATTGAGAAGACAGCGAGAGCTCTTGTGTCTGAGCTTAAACAGCTGTCAAAAGAGGTGAAACATTATTCTACTTAATTGTTGAAAGAGTGGATAATACTGATACCTCTTGTGGTTTTGTAAAATTGGACTGACACTTTGTGATTATTTAACTTTTACGGTAACCTTCCTTATAGGGGTTAGAGTGTAATGTGGATTTAATATAATGTGTATTAAAAGTAGGGAGTGTTTGTTCAATTTTACGAAATCTCAATGGATGTTTATGCTATTTACTCTTGTTGAGATACTGAACATTGTTTTGTGTGTGTATGCATGAACACTATTATCACATGGGGTGCTTAAATTTTTTCATTTTTGAATATTTTATAGTGATTCGTTGCTGAGTGGTTATTTCTTTCATCTTTTTGGTTGAGACTTGAAAGGTTGTGGTTGGGTGGATTGCAGGTTGAAGATAGTGAGTTGGCAGATGTGGCAGCTGTCAGTGCAGGGAACAATTACGAAGTAGGACAAATGATAGCTGAAGCATTGAGCAAGGTTGGTAGAAAGGGTGTCGTGACACTTGAGGAGGGAAAAAGTGCTGATAACAGTCTATATGTTGTCGAGGGAATGCAATTTGATCGTGGTTATATTTCTCCATACTTTGTTACTGACAGTGAGAAAATGGCTGTTGAGTATGAGAACTGCAAGGTGTGACATTTGTTTGTGTTCCCTGTAATTTGATATTATTTTTAATATCCTGTGTATTTACTTATAAAATATGTGGTCTCTATGATGTGCAGTTGCTGTTGGTTGACAAAAAGATTACCAATGCAAGGGATCTTATCAACATACTGGAGGATGCAATTAGAAGTGGACACCCTATATTGATTATGGCAGAGGATATTGAACAAGAAGCTTTGGCAACTCTTGTGGTGAACAAACTTAGAGGATCACTGAAGATTGCAGCACTTAAAGCCCCTGGGTTTGGTGAACGCAAGAGCCAGTATCTTGATGATATTGCCATCTTGACTGGAGGTCTTTAAATTTAAAATTCAACGTTGATTGTCTGTCTAATTTGGAAGTGTATATTTTCTATTCTCTATCTTTTTGTTTCCCGCTGTTGATAACATTATGTATTTCCTCAATTGGTTTACAGGCACTGTAATCAGAGAAGAGGTTGGCCTTACTTTGGACAAAGCTGGTAAAGAGGTTCTCGGACATGCCTCCAAGGTGGTGCTCACCAAGGATACAACCACTATTGTTGGTGACGGAAGTACCCAGGAAGCAGTGACCAAGAGAGTTGCACAAATTAGGAACCAAATTGAGGTTTCATTCTCTCTATCTCTCTCCCGCTCTCTACCACAAAGTTTGCACATGCCAATGTGGCATGTGCTGGGTTTCATGAAGATATTTTACAGAAAGCATAATTAATGATACACTTAACAAGGATGAAATATTTTTTAAAGCGTAGAATGATTGATATACGTACACATTTGTAATTAGACTTACATGTATCTGTGTGTGAATGCACATTAACATTATTCATCCTGGGAGAAATTCTGTACATATAGGGGAGTATGGGAACGGTTCATTCTTCTTCATGTTCTAACATTATGATTGTGTAATATTACAGGCTGCAGAGCAAGAGTATGAGAAGGAAAAGTTGAACGAGAGAATTGCTAAGTTGTCTGGCGGTGTGGCTGTGATACAGGTAATGAACCCCCTGAAATGTGGTAATATAACAATTTTTGTACTCTACAAGGTAATCAACTTGGGCAATTTTTGTACCTACACGTATAGGTTGGAGCACAAACTGAGACAGAGCTTAAAGAAAAGAAGTTGAGAGTTGAAGATGCACTTAATGCTACAAAGGTGTCTTTCTGTTTCCCGCAGTACATTGATTCAAGTTAGTTTTGGATTCTGTTTCTGTGAACTAATGATTTGTTGACTTTCAGGCAGCTGTTGAGGAAGGTATTGTAGTTGGTGGTGGGTGCACTTTGCTGAGACTAGCATCAAAGGTGGATGCAATCAAGGATAGCCTTGAAAATGATGAAGAAAAAGTGAGTCATTTATTTGATATGGCGAGAATACATGTCTTGAATGTGATGATATTTTTGTTTTGGGTGCTGGGAAATGCTCCTGACTGTTGTTTTTAGTTTAACTCTAAATGTTTTTACTGTGTTTATGGCTTCAAAATTGTGGTTTACTTATGCAGGTTGGAGCTGATATTGTGAAAAGAGCTCTTAGTTACCCTTTGAAATTAATTGCCAAGAATGCTGGTGTCAATGGCAGCGTTGTCAGTGAGAAGGTACTGGATCTGCTCAATTTGGAATTTCTCTCACTCTATCAACGTGCTTGTGATGATGTATGTGCTTTGTCTTGTGGTTAGGTATTGTCCACCGACAATTTTAGATTTGGATATAATGCCGCCACTGGAGAATATGAAGATTTGATGGCTGCTGGAATCATTGATCCAACAAAGGTGATTTGTTGTTTGAGCATAATTAGTTTTTAATTTACTTTCATGTGGTTGCCAAGCAATCTCCAGTTACAGGTCCAAATTATCTGATTAAATTTGAGTTTGTTTTTAATGATGGCATGTTTATGTTGATATCTTAGATTTCATGCTTGGGATGTCAACATCATAAAACTTGAAGGTTAATTCAATATTTATATCTGCGTTGCCTATGTTAGAATGAGGCATAAATAATGTTCAAAATACTTGTGTGTGCCAAATATGAGCTTTTGAAGGGGGCCGGGTTTCATTTTTGCTTCCCAGTATGGATGAAATCGCTTGGTAGTTTCATGTATAATAACTTTTGAAATGCTTTTTGCAAGGAAGCATGGTCACTTCAAAAATGTTAACCATGCCGTGTCAACAGTCATATAGTTTATTTCGGACAATTAAATGCTCCTAGCTATTTTTTATACTGCTATAGTTATACCAATACCAATATTTATGGAATATCACTAATTGATCGGAAGTTTAATTCAATTTTCCAAAATTGGTTTGTAAAGTGAGAATACCATTTATAGTCTTATCACCCGTTGATGTAAACTTCTTAAAATTGGGAATTGGATATTTCGAGCGTAAGTTTGTAGAATTGGGCATCTGATGGTGGCCTGATAACAGGTCTGAGAGTGATAACATGTTTGATAACATTTGATAATAGGATAAATAGACTCAGATATCATGTTAGTCTATGATGAGTTGTGCTTTATTTTAGACATTGATTTTTATTTTAACTTATTTTGCATGCTGTTTCATGTATTGTGATTTTGAATATGTCGAATAGCTCTGCACGTTAATGTCTGCTCGGATTTGTCTTGAGTTGTATCTAAGCATTCTAGCTTTTCTGATCAAGGCCATACTGCAAGTTTCTGTTTGATACGAAGCTTCGAATTCTGATGCAATCCTACTCTTGTGCAGGTGGTCAGATGTTGCCTGGAACATGCAGCTTCTGTTGCCAAAACCTTCTTAATGTCGGACTGCGTGGTTGTTGAGATTAAGGAACCTGAGCCCATACCCGCTGGAAACCCCATGGACAATTCAGGTATGTAGTTGAAAAATGAGTATCTATGTTTACTATGGTGCATTTGGTATGAGGAAATATTGACACTAGTTTGAGGCAGTGACAATTTTAACGCTTTCATTGAGACATCAATATTATGGATTTGAAAAATAGAAATTTATTAGTTCAACTTAATTGGTGTATTTATCAAATAACTAGTAATTAAATACCAAGTGTAGTTGACTGACCTTGCGTTTGTTTTATCCAGGATATGGTCTCTAGAGGATCGGCTGCTTCAGTGAGAACAGTATTTTTTTTGTTTTTTCTCTCGATGAAATGCAAAATTCGGTAGCTATTTTATTTGTAGCAAAGCAACGAGTCCAAATGTACGATGGGTACCTAGTGTGGTATATTAATAATCAAAAAATTTTGCTAATTACTTCCCTCGAGATTTTTTATTTTTAATAATATTTCTTTTTAGTTATTTTGTCCAGTTCCAACCGTTGCGTGTAGAAAGTATGATTTTTCTTTGTTCCTGTGTCATTTAATTTTAAATATTTGTTGTAAGTTTACATTAATCAAATGTCAAATAGTTGCAACATTTGCATTATTGCCTTTACCTATTAGTAGAAATAGAGCTGGGCAGGCAATAAAATCTGAATCTTTGTATCGTTACTCAACTTTGATGGGTCGCTCGATTCTGAAGGGAAAATTCATTTTGACCACTGTTTCGGTTTTGGGTTTTGTGTGATTCGGAACTATAATATTACTAGATTCTTTTAATATTAAAAAAGATTGACTATTTATGTGTTGGCTCAACAAAAGTAGCTTATATAATGAATGAATCATTCAAGGGACTTGGTAAAAATTTGGTTTACCAAGTGTCAAATTGAGTTTAAATCTGATGGGTCTATCTGACTTACGGTTCTGGACTCGGGTAGGTTGAAAAATTAAAGTTGTGTACTATTTTTTATGAAATTTTAATAAGGCTTGTTTAATTTAAGTCAAAGGAGTTTGAGTATAATTGAGTTAGATTAGATCGTTTAACTCATTATGATTAAAAAAATTATATATATTTTTTGTATTTATATTTGAATTGTTAACTCGATTTCTTTATAAAAATGTATTCATATTTTATTTATTAAGTTAGAAACATGTAATTGATTTCTTTATTTTAAAAATTTGGTGAATCAATCTAATCTCAACCACCTGTGGTGGATTTAGTGGTCATATTAGTTCTCTTTGACACCTATTTTCCAATTATAGAATACAACCAGTAAAATTTGACGTTTCTACACCATAACCAATATTTATATATTTAACATGCGAAATCAATCATAAGAGGTACCGAAATGAAAGTATTACGATAATCGAATTTTGTTATTTGTTTATAAATATTGCTCAACAGTTACTGGTTTATTTATCTGCTATGACGAATGTGAAATAAATAGTTATTAAATTTTATTGCATAACATCTTTATCTTTAATTATATTTTAGTTATTTCTCAATTATTTTATTTTATTTTAATACAGAAACATATAAGACTTGTTTCTTAAATTTTGTTTTCCCTTTTAATTAGTCACATGAAATCTTTAGTCACATTGCACTAATGGATCGCAAAGATAAAGTACTAACAACGATTACTCGCCGTTGACGTGACTGTTTAGTCGCATAGTAAAGTAGGAAGAGACACATAAAATGTTTAGGGTTATAGAGATTTACTAAAATTAGATTGTTCGTTATATCAATATAATTATTGGTTCAATTTTGTTTTAACTTATAGTTTTCATTCTCTATATTTACAATACTCTAGTCTGAAAAATGTTGGAGATTCTTGTTCCAACAAGGTTGTAGAATTGAATATTTTAAATGTGAGGTCTTGTATTTGATGCACATGATTATGAATGTTGAGAGTATGTATATTTTAAGCCATCAAGGTTTTGATATGATTCATTTGATCATACATGTATTTGTTAAAAGTTTTAGTTTTGACTTATCGAGACTCAATGAGTTGAATATGTATAATTAAATAAATTATTATAAAGTGAAATGATAATTAAAGTAGGAAGATGTGGGTTTATCTAGACACGAATAAAATATTTTGTAAACATAACTTACTTTCATAAACGATTGGAAGATTATTATCTTCTTAGATGTGAAACTCATCTAATATCATATAATATATTAAGTAATAAATTAATATAATATTATAAGAAATTAAGTTATGCAATAGAGGTGTAAACAATTAGCCAGGTCAAGCATGTAAAATTGAAGCTTGACTTGCAAAAGGAAAACTTTATCAATATGTTTAAATAATTTAATTTTAATACATTTTCAATATAAAGATTCGCTCAGTGAACTAATTATAATTCACTCCAGGACATCTGAGTTAATTATTATAACATTAAATAATTACGTTATTAAAATTCATTGATTACATGATACTGTAATTATTTTTGGTTTAAATAACTTTTCAGTTTCTATAATTTTATTTACTGTCTTTGTTAGTTCCAATAACGTTTTTTCTTAGTTCTTTCTTTAACCTCTTAATTTTTGTGTTGTAAAAACGTGATAAATACTATTTTGACGTGATATTTTTTTATGTTATTTTATTTCGCTTGAATACCTTTTATTTCTATAGTTCAATTTTTTTATTTTATTTTAGTCTCTAATTTTTTAGTTCATGTAAATCTTTATATGTAATTTTTTCCTCTTTTAATTTATGTTATTTATTTTTCAATGTTATTTATTTTTCATTAACATTTTCTGTATTGTGATCATGTGTTAAGATATTTTGAAGTGACATTTCTCACAAGATTATTTTTTGTTAAAGTTATTTTATATTGAATTTCATTATTTAACTATGACAATTTTGTACTTAATTTTAACCATGAGACTGACAATCATTTCTGAGCTTTGATTGTTTCTTTCTATAAACAAAATTTAGGAAATAAAACATTATTTTTTAAAATTGCAAATTAAATGTATTCTGTTTTTGTTCAAAATTGGATGCTTGCTTCGTTAAAGTTTGATTGGGGTATGTGTTTGGTTTGATTATACAAAATATTACATTAAATAAATTATATATATAATTAATTATTTTTGATGTTTCAACATGCTTAAATAATAAGATGGCTTATAGCACTTGAGAGCAGTGTTTTAAAACTCGGACCGACCCGGCCGGTAGGACCGGGAACCGGTGGTCCAGCCGGTTCGAATCTGAAGTTGGATCGGTTATGCAGTCGACCCGTTTCAAACCGGATTGAACCGGTCAATTTTCCGGTTCAACCGGTGAACCGGTGGGTCAAACCGGTTCAACCATTTTTTTTTTATAATTTTTTTAAGGGATCATAAATCACAAAAATAATAATGAAAATTGAATCTCTTAATGAAAAAGCAAGGAGTCTTATTAAATATAACAATGACTACTTGTTCTAATATATTTGTTTGCAATATATACAACTTAAATAACTTTTATAGTATATTATTAATTTTAAATTATATATTTAATAATGCAATATCTATGTAAATATTACCTATATTATTTTGTGATATTAATTGCAAGCATATTATATATGTACATATTATTTATATTTTTAATTTGTATTAATATACCGTTTAACATGTAATTTTTTATGTATTTTTTTACAAAATAAAAATAAAAATAATTTTAAATAAGATAGAAAAATTGAAATTTAAAATAAGATATGAATTTATTAAAATTTATAAGCATAAAATATATTTAATATAAATATTTTTTAATAAAAATCGAGTCATGCGGTTCAACTAGTGACCCACCGGTTCAACCTTTGACCCATTGACCCAGTACCTTAACCGGTTCGATGACCGGTCCGATTTTTAAAACTATGCTTGAGAGTCAAGGTTTAAAGTGATTTATAAACACTTTTTTATTTTTTGATGTATGAGGTATTTTTATGATAAAATTATGACAACTTAACATGAAACAAATATTTTAAATATGTTGATTTTAATGATGTCAAAACATTGATATTAGATAAAAATTTTAGGTTATTTTAGTCCTTAATTTCAACTGAGAGTTTGTACTAATATATCAAAATGTCTCGCATCACTTAGAAGTTAAAGTCAAAGATAATTTATAAATACTTTCATTTCTTGATCCACTAAAATATTTTTTTCAAAGACAAAATTATAATATTTTAACAAGCACAAAAATAGACAATATGTCATTTGCAATAATCTAACAATTTTAACATATTTGAAGTCAAAATAATTTATTATATAATATGTGTTCTAAATATATTTTGAAAGTGATTTAAGGTCAAGAAATCTATTTTGTTTGAATATTTTTAAAAACATATCTTTTATAAAATTAAAATTATATAAAATTGTTTATTATTATTGATATTATATCTAAAATAATCGATAGTTTGATATCAAAATAAAGTTAATCAAAATTTTGCTTTTAAAATTGATAGTTTGTATAAAATAAAGTTTATAGTAATACTTTAAGAACAAGTCTATTTAATAAGATTTACTTAATTTTATTTTAATCAATAACTTATGTTTTATATTAAAATTTTAACAATCTAATCATTAAATTAGAAATTTTTTATATATAAATTTTTAAATTTAAAAATTTAATAATTATTTAATACTTTCTTATATAAATTCAAATTAAGATATAATTGGAGATTGAGCAAACAAGTTTAAGACCAATAATCTCATATTTCTTTATGCAGTAGTTTAGAAATCCGTGTAGAAATTGTGTCTCTGGATAGAGGCAGGACAGGGCTAGTTTGAGACCCAACTATTGGATTAAAAAAAATAGTAAATAGAGGCCTAACAATTGCCTTAGCATATATTATCATTTTTGGGCTCTTCTTTTTAATCATAATAATGATGTTTCTTGCTCTTCTTGTTAAAAGTGAAAAGTTAGACTTAATTGAATTTTTTAATTCTCCTACTTTATTTCAGGCGTGGTTTTAGTTTTTGAAAAGAGGGATTTCAGAAAATTATAATAAGGATTGAATTGAATTTTTGTTTGTTTAATTTTTTTCAAATAAAAATGATTAAAATAAAGGTCATTTACAAGCTAGTATTATAAGAGAAGCAACTGATTAGGTAGAACGTTAGTGTTTTTTTAATTTTTTTTCCAGCAGGTATAACGTTAATTTATCTTCACAATATATATATATATATATATATCTCGAGAGAGAGAGAG